GTATTGTTATTTAAAAAAAAAATTATACATAATGATTGAATAGTATATAAAAAAAATAGTTTGAACATTAATATCATTATGAAGACATATATAGTAATATAATACTATTATAAAGCATTATTATAAGATTGTAATAAATGTAAGTATAATAGCGTGAATACAATATTTAGAATATGATAAGTTATGTGTATTATCTATAATATTTTGTAATACACAAATTGTAATTAGCGATATATATGAAAATAATTTTTTTATTTTTACGGCTTTTGTTTTCTAGACTTACGTTTTTGATTTTTGCTGCTTTGATTGATAATTGAAATTGGTCTCGGAAAAAGGTAGATCGTTTGTTCATAACGCCAAACGTAGAATATAGTAGTGTCATACTGGATGTCTTTATCATATTGCACCGTTATTGGTTTTTCTGTGTATCGTGGAGTTCTGTAGGCAAAGACAGGAATGTCAAGAATTTCATCAGACAACTCGCAGAGTTGATTGACTGATATCTGGATAAATGAAAGAATGAACTTTTAATTGTGTTTGTGTTGTATCATTGTTTGTGTTTATATTATTCAGCTCACCATTATTGGTGTTATTATGTTGTTGATGATTTTTGTGCATAAAATAATGAGTTATATTATTGAATATTTCACAGAATAATCTCAAACTCCAACCAAATGTATTTTATAATAAATGTACATTCATGCAAGAGTTAATAATAATGGTTAGAATTTTAATTGTAAAAATAATGCCTAAAATTCCAGATATTAATGAACCAAAACATATGAACCATCCCCAAATTTGATGTAATTTATCTTCTACCATTGAACTTGTAACTGAAAGATCAATAAGTTTGTGTAGATTTATTTGGTTGGTTACTTCATATCCTAATGTTTGACGAATAATGTTGTTTCGTATTGCTGTAATTTCTCGAGGAAACATTAGGTGTTCATGTAATGCTTGAATTACATCTCAATTATAAATGCCAGCAGACATTAAGTATTCTGGGGATTTATAATACCATATAAATTTGGTTTCTGGTTTTAATATTTGTGGTGTTTTGGCATCAATTAAATGTGGATTGAGTCCAAACCATTCTCCATCTAAGAAGTAGGCGCATGGTAATCTATTGTTACAAGTAGTTTTTGTCCCATATTTTTGTAATATGTGTGATTTTGGTGCCATGAAGAATGATTGATTTTGATGTACGACAGGTAATTTACGAAAAAAAGTTTCTTTTTTGCCATTTCGACTAAAACTGGTTTGCATTTAATGAGGTAGATGATTTCCTCACTGGATATTGCCATACAACCAGGAGTAAGAGATAATGTATGCATTATTATTTTTCTTTCTATATTGCACATTGTTTTGTTGTAATGTCAATTTATAAATCATTTAATGATCTTGCAATATGGAATTTTATGTTGACATGTGAAATTAAGTCCGTATTTTGAGGAGAAATAATTTGTTTTTTCCAATTCCATGCAATTCCTCGTGTTTCAACAAGGAAGGTCCTTGTTTCAGTTGGACTAGAAAAAGATTTTGATTGTACCACTGATGCTGGGCCGTCATAAAAAACAACGTAGTCCAAATCACAATCTAGAGAATTTGTAATCAATAATGTTCTGTCAGATAAAATTACAAGTTTTTGTAAAAAATATTTGTGATTTTAAATAACTTAGTGGAATATCATTTATTGTACTGAAACTTGAATTGTTTGTGTTCATATACAAAATTTCGTCACTATTTATCAAAACTGTTTGCAAGGAAATCCTACTAAAAAAAAAAAACGATAAAGAATTGTGAATCCTTATTCCCTTGGGATATTAACGTACCTGACACGTACTCAATTATAGTTGAATACGTGTCAGGTATGTATACATACAAACACGATAAAACAAAGTAATTGTGCTTTAAAAACTTAAGTGTTTCGAATTCACTACTCTATATAGAGTAAATACACTTTGCATTTTTATTTCTGAATAATAATCATTAGCCTTTCCGTAATGATTTATTAAATATATTAATTAATTAGAAAATTAAATTATTAGTGTTAACTTAACAATTTAGTTTTATAAAGTATTTACTTTGATTGATTTGGTTGGCTTGGTCTTACTTAATTGGACTGTTAGAAGAAATAATCATTTTATTAAAAAAAACTAAAGAATTATTTTTACACTTATTTTATTTAAATTAAAATTACACTTGAATGTTTTTTTTTTTGTAATGGTTTTATGGATTAATAATATCATATATATTTTTCTATACTTAATATATAGTTTGTTTACATGAAATTTTATAAAAATATATATATATCTATAGAGTTTAGTAAAAAGTTTATTAAACTTGCGCCAGATGTCACGTAACTAAGAACGGGTGACGGACATGTTTCGCCTTACTGTCAAAATATATTTAAAATTCCAATATTGATTTCATAAAGTTTTTGAATTTATAAATTAGGAAGTTGATTTTCTAGTCTTAATCAGAATTTTAATAAATCATCTTGAAAAATTATTTTACTTTGTCAACTATATTTAAACTTCCATACATTAATAAATAATAAAGAATGAACAGTAATTTTCTTAATTAGATCGTTATCCATTAAATAAAGTAGTTAATTATGTTTATTGCCATTTGAAAAAATAAATTTCATATCATTATAAAGTATAAGGATAAACATAAAAAATTCTTTCATATTTATATATTGAGAAAAACATGCACTTAAAAGAAAAAAAAAGAATTTTAAACATTATTTTTATTTTTATACAGTTCATGATAAATAAATTAACTTGTATACTTTTTTTTTAATTAACATAAATCATTTTAATGTATAGAAACTAGGCTTCGCCTAGCTGGGGCTCCGCCTCGGACCTGAGCCCCTACGAGCCTCAAGACCCTTCGACGCGTAAACCTCTTTGGGCCATCTTAGTAAGTCACTGATTCCGGTAGGAGTACCCAGCTACGTCGGGCACAATAAGTGCAGGAAAAATATTACATCAGAATCAGTGTCAAAAAAATATATTGAAAATTTAATTATTAAAATCAGGAAAATTTTAAAAGACAATATAGTAAAATGTATTGGGTATACGGTTGGGTTTGTTAATGAGGTATTTTCCTTAAGCGTATTCAGAAAATATTTTAAGAGAGTATTTAGTATTTTAGCTTCGATGCGAAGCTGAGAAGGTATTGGTTTTACTATGATGTGTTTTTTTTTTTGTGTCTGTTACCACTTTTTCTCAGCTCTCACCGAACGGATTTCTTTCAACGATACGTCAAAAGATCACAATTCGTATCTAGTCGAAGACATTACCCTTCAAAATTGAAAAAATTTCCCTCGTTATCCGTAAATGGGGGAAACCTCCAAAAAAATTACAAATTTAAAAATCGCTAATTTTCGAAATTTTTTCAATTTTTTTTACTAAAAACTGCCGTAACTTTTTCAAAAATGAACATATCAATATAATTTTTTTTTATATAGATGCTTGATGTCTTTACCTATCATTTGGTATATTTTTTTTGTAAATCTGACACTTAACCTGCCCACAGGGGGGGATTTAAAATGACAACTTTTTCACAAAAAATTAACTTTTTCAACTTAACTTTTGAAAATGTTCCGGAAGGTCTGACACTTTTATATATATCTTAAATTAAAGCTAATGTAATATACTTTAATGTGAAAAAAAAAAATTTGACCTCTGGACTTCACGTCTTTCACCTCACGGCTA